CGAATGTGCGCCGCGCTGAAGCGAGAACCACATGCTGAAAACGACCCACCCTCAACCCGTGAAGCCCTTACAAATGTTTAGACGAATGTGCGCCGCGCTCAGGCGAGGAGCCGCATTTTGAAAACGACCCGCCCTCCGTTTGCGAAATCATTGCCAAATGTTCAGCTTCAGAGTCATAAATGGTGAGGAGGTCTCAGGCGACACGCCCGGCCCGCCCTAACAACTGGCCTCGGGTTGCGACAGGGTGAAACTATTGATAAAGAAAAGGAATGGAGGAGGGGGAGGAGGAGGGGGAGGAGGGCAAACCAGGTGCGCTCCCGTCATATCTGACGTTGTGCCCCCCTCCCAGCCCTTACCATTGCATAGATCTCCTCTCTACTTGCACAATCGGATGTCGTAGCATGGCATAGCATTACATAACATACCATGGTGTTGAAGATTAACGCGTAGCATGACAAAGCATGGCGTGGCGATGCCCCAAGATGGGGTGGGGGCCTCCGCGGCCCCAAAAATCAACGAATCAACACCGAATGTGGAATCACTTCCGATGGTCTCTTCGGGAGGCATTTTTGTTTAGATTGTGGGGCATGTGTGCAAGGACCGAAACCATGCCGTGGCATGGCATTGGAAAGCATGACGCCAGCGCTACAGCGGGAGCACGATTCGGGACGAGCGGAAGCGCGGAAATGAAGTCAGCGCTGCAGCGGGAACACGATTCGGAACGAGCGGTAGCCCGGAAATGAGGCCACCGCTTCAGCGAGAGCAGCGTTGCGAAACAAAAACAGGCGCGGAAGCGCGGATATGAAGACGCGTAGCCTGACATAGCATGGCGCGGCGACGCCCCACCTTGGGGGTGGCTTCTGCGGCCTGGGGGGGGGCCCGCGACCGCGGCGGTGGGCGCGCACGCGCACTTCGGGCGCGCCCTGCGCTGCAGGCGCAGGTCTGGGCACACGCGGAGGAGCCGTGCGTGCGCAGGAGGGATGGAGAGGGGGGATGGGGGGACTCAGGGAGAGGGAAGGAGGAGGGGGAGGGGGAGGGGGGAGGGGGACTCCTCCTCCTCCTCCTCCTCATCCTCCGCCTCCTCCTCCTTCCGTAGCCAATTTGGCTCAAGTCCGTAGCCATCTGGCTCAAGCGGACAGGAGTCCCTTTTGGCGTGGGGGAAGCAGCGGCCCCCGAACGCTTTCATCTCTCTCAGAGCTTTTCTGGTACTGTGTTGGGGTATTCATCCCCCGCGGCCTTGCCATCACAGTAAACTACGACGATATTCAGTTGGTTCTCGTCTGGTCAGCAGTCGTCGCGATGGCGCCGCCGCACTTCCGATCAGAGCAGAGCCTGCACCAGTGGTACTGCAAGACCTGTGTCGGCCCGCGCGGGACGCCATGGTTCAACTATGCTGATGCGCGTGAGTGTGCCAAGTGCAAGCTGGGCAAGGGGCTCTGTCTGCTTCAAGGCGTACCGCGCGCCCGCCGCTCCTTCCCAGCGGAAGCCAGGGCGGTCTCCTTCAGCTTGGGCAGACTCGGTGCTGGTGCAGAAGCTCAAGCAGGAGTTGGCAGCCGCCAGCGCGAAGCTCAAGCGCGCTGAGGCCCCGCCCGTTGAGGCAGAAGAGGAGCTCAACGGGTCAGATAAGGACAAGCAGAGGCTGCGGGAGCTGGGCGAGCTGCCCAAGACCGTCGAGGGCAGTGCCGATCCTCACCTTGCGCGTGCCAAGGAGGCGTACGTCAAGGAGCAGGCGGAGCTCAAGGCGAAGTTGGCGGCGGCGCGCCCGCTGGGCCAGAGGCTGCGCGACCTCGGTGCCCAGATCAGCAGGCAGCAGAAGTTGCAGGAGGACCAGCAGCGGCGGCTCGTGGGGATCCGCGAGAAACTGGCGCTGCTGCAGGAGCAGGAGCAGGCGGCGCTGCAGCAGCTTGCGACACTCGACACTCAGATGCAGGAGTTGCAGGAGCAGCAGCGGCAGCTCCAGAGCCAGGCCCCGCTGCCGCCTCAGCCCGAGCACGGCAAGGGGCATCTGGGCGAGCCGATCGTTGGGCTTGGCCAAACGTTGGCGGGGCTCGACCAGGTGCCCAACTCCCTCGGCGCCGAGCATGGGCTGTCGGAGCGCCTCAAGGAGGACCTGGAGCGCCTCAAGCAGCTCAGCGAGGAGGCCAAGGCCAAGCAGCAGCGGGAGCGGGACGAAGCTGCTGCTGCCGCTGCCGAGGCCCAGCGGGCGCCTGGCGGTGGCCCGCCTGCCGAAGGCGACGCGATGGAGCAGGATGCGGCCGACAGCGCCGAGTTCGTCGAGGAGATTGCCAGTGCAGGAGGCGACAAGCGTAGGATCGAGGAGATCATGGCTAAGCACGGGTGCAAGCGGCACAAGGCGGTCGCTGCCTGCTGATGCCCTGGCGCCCTTTCGTGTTCTGCTGTGGCTGTGCTTCGCGTCCATCGCAATGGCTAACTCCATCGGTGTCACCACCATCAATGTCTCGTCAGGCGGCCCCATGATTGACTACCTGGCAAATTGTTCCAGCATGTGCGTCGCTGTGCAGGAGCATCATGCTCTGCCTGGGGCCCTGGCAAAGGCCCAGCAGGACGCGCTCGCCGAGGGCTACCACGGCGTCTGGGAGGCTGCTCTTCCAGGACAGGGCTCTGGCAGTCAGGGCGGCGTGGCGGTCTTGGTGCCCAAGCGTGTGCTCATCACAGCGCCCCCTGCGCTGGAGGGGCCGACGTTGGAGCCAGGGCGCATGGTGGCGGCGCACGTCAACTGCGGCGGCAAGAGAGGCTTCGTCATGGTCTCTCTGTACATGCGGGTTGACGAGCAGTTGTCGCCAGAGAACCTGGCTATCTTGTTCAAGTTGTATCGGTATCTAAAGGTGCTCGACACTATGCAGATGCCGTGGATCGTGGGCGGAGACTTCAATATGGAGCTCAAGCAGTTGGGCTCGCTGTCGTGGCTGCACTCCGTCAATGGCGTGGCGGTGGTGCCGTCGGTGCCGACTTGCTTGCAGGCCCTCCCTGGGCGCACGATCGACTTCTTCTTCGTGGCTTGCCAGGTCGTGCCGAGGATAGGCCATGCAGCAGTCGGTGAGGCAGACACGTGGCCGCACTTGCCTGTCACGGTCAGGTTGTCTGCCCAGCCGCAGGCGATGTGAATTCGGCAGCTGGTGCAGGCCAAGGGCTTCACCAAGGCGCCGAAGATCGGCTGCGCCAGGCCGCCGCCAGACTGGGACCCGCTGCTAGACCAGACTAGGCAGGCGACCTCCTCGGAGCAGCTGGCTGACGTGTGGGACCAGCTGCTGCTGGGCATCGAGTTCGAGCTGCAGGGGCGGTACGATGTTGTCGGACCGCAGGCTTCGAAGTTCACGTCCAAACCGGCGTCGCCTACGTTCGAGTGGGCCAGGTTCGACCCCGACGAGAGGCAGTCTTGGAAGCGGAAGGCGCCTGACGTCGCAGCGTGGCTTGCAGCAGCGCGCTGGGCGCGGCATTTTCGACGTGTCCGCGCTGCTCTCGAATCGTTCATCGTGAAGCTGTCTGACCCTCCCACTTTCGTGTTGCCAGGTCTGTGCTACTCAGGGTTGGTGGAACCATCGGCATCATCGGCTACGGTTGCTTCGTCGGCGGCGGCGTCCTGTGGTGCAGCGGCGGCGGCGGCTGGATCGGCGTCCTGGTCTCCTTCGGCGTCCTCTTCCGCGGTCCCCCCTCCACCCCTGGCACCTGTCACTGTTGCCAGAGGCCTCCCAAAGGGGGACAATGGAGGGGGAGCGACCGCCGCCGCTGGCGAACCGCAGGGGTCTGCTCCTGGAGCACGCTTCCAGCGGAGGGTGTATTGCAGCAAGCTGTGCGATAAGACCGCGAGGCACATCTTGGAATTTCAGAGTTTCTTGAGAAGGATTGCTGCTCGTTCTGATGTATGGCCACATCTTGACAAGTCGGCTGTCGATTTCTTCGTGCGTGGGCTCTTGGCGTTTGTGCAGGAGGACTTCGACCAGCAGGTCGAGCGCATCATTGTCAAGGCAGAGGGTAAGCAGCGGGCGCACGAGAAGAAGGTAGCCGCCAGTTGGCATGCGTGGCCCGAGGCGTCGTTCGAGGGTGGCGCCAGCCGTGCTCACAAGTTCTCCAAGCCGCTGGCGCTCCAGGAGGTGATCGACTACGGCGCAGGGGTCCAACACGCGTACCAGCTGGCCGATCGTAAGGTGCAGCACTGGTACCAGTACTGGCAGAGGCATGAGGACGGGGTGATCGAGTTGCCCAGCGACCACCTGGAGTGGGACCAGCTGCCGCCTCTCAGTGGCAGCGACGTTCGTCGTGCAATTCGTGCCTTTAGCTGGACAACGGGAACGGGGCAGGTCAAGATTGCCCCGCTGGCGCTGGACCACCTGTCCGACGCAGCCCTGGATGCGATGGCCGCCGTCTTCTGTCGTTGCGAGCAGTTGCTCATATGGCCCCAGTCTCGGTTCATGACGAAGCTCGTTCGCCTTCCAAAGCCAGGAGGAGGGGAGCGCCTGATCGCTCTCCTCAACACGCTCATTCGAGTGTGGGGGAGGGCCCGTCGGCCTGTCTCTGCCCAGTGGGAGGTGGACAACGCCAGCGAGGAGTTCTGGGGGCACACGGGAGGCAGATCCTCCACTGATGCTGCCTTCGACCTGGCCCTCGAGAAGGAGACGGCCCACCTCACGGGCGACCATGCCCTGATCGTGCTGCTAGACATGCTCAAGTGCTACGAGCTTGTTCGGCACCAGGCGCTGCTTGACGAGTGCAGGGCCAATCAGTATCCCATGAGGTTGGCGTACATGCTCGTGCTGATCTACCAGCAGGCGCGCACGATCTTCGCGTACAACTCCTTCTCGGAGGCGAAGCGTGCCTGCCAGGGCATCCTGGCGGGGTGCACTCATGCCACTACGCTGCTGATGGTGCTGCTGACGCGTAGTTTACGCATGACTGCTCGGATTGCGCCTGAGGTTCGACCACGTGACTTGGTGGACGACGTGGCTCTGTCGTGGACTGGAGCCGATGCCCGAGGTGCCCGCACGCTGGCGACAGCCACGCGAGTGTTCTGCGATGCGGTCAAACCCCATCGGCCTTGTTCTGCAGCTGGACAAGTCTGGGCACTTGGCCGTTACACGGCAGTCGAAGTATCATTTCCGCCCGTTTGCCAAGATGCTCAAGATTGGAGGCAAGCGTCACATGCGCTACCTGGGCCACGATCTTGCGGCCAGCGCTGCTGTGCGCAGTGTCCAGAAGGATCGCCTCAAGAAGATGGATGCTCGGCGTCCTCGGTTGAAGGCGTTGCAGAAGGGTGCTGGACGCCGGCGCTCGGCGCGCCTTTGGACCACCGGTGCGCTGCCGTCGGTCGGCCACGGCGCGGCGGTTAGCGGCATCAACGACGGCGAGCTGAAGCAGATGCGCAGTGTTGCTGGCAGTTTCTGTGGCTTCAGTGGCAGCGGCTCTCTCACTCTGTACTTGGCGGTTCAGAAGCAGCGCAACTTCGACCCGATCTACCACGCCACCTGCAGCCTGTTGCAGCAGTACACGGCGTGGGTGTGGGCCGCGCGCGGCTCTCTCGCCAAGCTGCAGAGGGCCTGGATGGCGCTGAGGGACCAGTTCGAGGCTGCTCGCGGTGCAGTCACTTGGGCCAGTGCTCGTGGTCCTATCTCTGCGCTCTGGCTCACTCTGCGCAGGGTCGGGTGGGACATGGCCAGTGCCACGGTCCTCGTGGACGACACGGGCTTTGGCATCGATTTGCTGAGGGTCAGTCCCAGCGAAGTGCAGCACTACATGTACCTGAGCCTGGAGCGCTGGCAGAGCCATCGTATATTGGACCACCTGCCTGGCGCCCCTGCTCGGCAGCCTGACGGAAGCCGACGGCACATCTGGATGCGAGCCCTTCGTCATGGGCACTTGCAGAGGCTGTCGAGCGGGTTGCGAGGTGCTTTGGCCAAGCTGCAGTCAGATGGCATGTGGACGCCTGCCCGTCGGCACGAGGCAGGTTACACGGATAATGCAGTTTGTGAATTCTGCGGTCACGCGCCTGCTGACCTCGAGCATGAGATGTTCTACTGCTCCGTGCACGAGGCGCAGGAGGGGGAGGAGCAGTGCCCGTACCCCGATGATGTGCTGCAGGTCAGGAAGGACATCTGGGAGCAGGGCCAGACGGGTGCTGGTGCGGAGCGGGACTTCGCCACGGTCGACCTGCTCTACGCGCTGCCGATGCGCCCTGAGTTTCGGCCCCCTGAGCCCAGCTTGCTGCCTGTTAAAGAGTGGGGGGCCCGTGATGCCCCGTGGCCGTCTAAAGTTTTCGGGGACGGGTCCTGTTTCGATAGCGATTTCCCTGAGGCCAGGCGGTGTGGTTGGGCTGTAGTGGCCCTCACGCCGAATTTTTTGCCGTTCAAAGCTGTTTTTGGAGGCCTCGGAGGCCCGATTCAAACCGTGCCCAGGGCCGAAAGGTTTGCCGCTCTCCGAGGCCTTGAATTGGCGTCCAGGCCGTCTGAGTTTGTCACAGATCACCTGGCTCTGGCGCAGGAAGGGGAGCAATGGTTTGGCAGGCATGCTCGACCGACAGCTCCTCACGCTAGCGTCTGGAGGCAGCTGCACGCTTTGTTTGCAAGTGATCTGGGTCGTTTGCCCCGCTTTTCCTGGACTCGTGCTCACAGGTCTGTGGATGAGGGCATTGCGTCGTGCATCTCCTCGGGGGAGCCCCTCGAGAATTTTTCGGTAACATGTGGGCTGATTGTTTCGCGAAGATGGCCGCGCTCGATCTGTCTGGATCGGCTTCGGTCATTCGTGTTCATAAGTTTGAGATGGAGCAGGCTAAGCAGCGGATGCGATGTCTTGCATTTGCTGCTCACAGGGTGGCCAAGTTGGCGTCGCCCGTCGTCCGTCGGCCGCTCCCGCCTGCCCCAAGAGCCCCTCGCCAGCGTAAGCCTACCACCCACGCGTTCGCCCTGTTTCCTGCTGGCGCGATAGGGTGCAAAGCTTGTTGGCGCCAGGCCTCGACCCCTTCCTCGTTGAAGTCCCTCTCCTCCCGCCTGTGTGATCCCCAGGTCGTCGGTCCAGGACACCAGGTCCAGGAGTGTGACCGTGTGTTGATATGCACGCGCTGCGGGGCCCACGCCGTGCGCCCGCAGAGGCTCTCGGTGGGCCTCACGCGCGCGTGCCTCGTCAGGGATGGGGGAGGTCGGTCGGTTGTGAGCGGGGGGCGGAGGGAACGTTTGCAGTGGATGTTGCAGCAGGCCCAGCTGGGACGCCACCCCAAGACGGGGGAGCTGCTCAGGCCGTTGCTGGTCGCGGATCTAGCCCCCGAGGCCGTCTCTTCTGCCTTAGTCGAGGGTGGGCGGGAGGCGGAGGGGGCGGGTCCGTCTGGTGACAGCGGCAGTGCGGGGCAGCAGGAGGAGGGCAGGAGTGAGGAGGGCCGAGTGTTGCGAGCGGTAGCCGCGACGCTGCGCGGGCTTGAGCCCGCGGCCCTCTCCTCGGCCTCCTCGTCGGCGGCAAGGACCGCCGCCCTGCCGCCGCCGCCGCGGCCGCCGCTCGACGCCCAGTCGGACGTATCCGACTGAGCCCTTCGTGTCGGCGCGCGTGCGTTCTCGCGTGCGCGCCTGCTCTCGCACGTTGTGGGCTGCACGCGTGCTTGGGTGGTTTCTGTGTACTGCGCGTGTGCATGTGCATGCGTCCTTGTCGTCTCCGCGGGGTGCTCACGACTCGTTTGCGCCTCCTCGGCATTGCTCCATTGCTCCTCCTCCTCCTCCTCCTCCTCCTCCTCCTCCTCCTCCTCCTCCTCCTCCTCCCTCCTCCTCCTCCCTCTCCTCCTCCTCCTCCTCCTCCTCCTCCTCCTCCTCCTCCTCCTCCTCCTCTCCTCCTCCTTCCCCCCCTGCCCCTCCCCCCTCCTCCTCCTCCTCCTCTCCCCTCCTCCCCTCCTCCTCCTCCTCCTCCTCCTCCTCCTCCTCCTCCTCCTCCTCCTCCTCCTCCTCCTGCTCCTCCACCTTCCTCCTCCCTCCTCCTCACTCCTCCTCCTCCTCCTCCTCCTCTTCTTCTCTCCGCCTCCTCCTGCTCCTCCGCCTCCTCCTCATCCTCCTCCTCCGCCTCCTCCTCCTCCTCCTCCTCCTCCTCCTCCTCCTCCTCCTCATCCTCATCATCATCATCATCATCATCATCATCATCAGCAGCAGCAATCAGCGGCCGCAGCAGCTCATCCTCTCATCATTCTCCTCATCATCATCATCATCATCATCATCATCATCATCATCATCATCATCATCATCATCATCATCATCATCATCATCATCATCATCATCATCATCATCATCATCATCTTCATCATCATCATCATCATCATCATCATCATCATCATCATCATCATCATCATCATCATCATCATCATCATCATCATCATCATCATCATCATCATCATCATCATCATCATCATCATCATCATCATCATCATCATCATCCTCATCCTCATCCTCATCCTCATCCTCATCCTCATCCTCATCCTCATTCTCATCCTCATCCTCATCCTCATCCTCATCCTCATCCTCATCCTCATCCTCATCCTCCTCCCCCTCCTCCTCCTCTTTCTCGAACGCCCGGGACGCCGAGGCTGTGACAGAACGCATGTCTTTCCACTTCCCTGGACAGGGTTGTGTGCAAGGGCTCCGCATGTGGCTCCTCAGACAGGCCGCGGGGTCGATGCTCGACAATCCTCCCGCATGGTCTCCCGTGTGGTCTGCCGCGTGCTCTCTCGTGTGATCTCCCCTGTGCTCTCCCGCGTGGTCTCTCGCCCGAGTGGTCTCCCGCAGGGCCTCCCGCGTGCTCTCTCGTGTGGTCTCCCGTGGGGCCTCCGGGCCGCTCTCCCGCGTGGCATCCCGCACGCACAGCACCAGGTGGTGCTCTCCTGCTTGCTGCGCGTGCTGCTGCTCAGGGCCTGCTGCCACCAGGGTGTAAGGACTCACTCGCGACGCCCGGCGGTCTGGGGGAGGGGGTGCTTCAAACGTCGGCCTCCAAGCTTCTGCTCGGCCGAGTGCGCTCCAGGATTTCGGGGCGGATCCAGGCGTGACGACCAGAACCCCCCCGGCGGCCCAGCAAGAGGCAGCCCGACCTGGGACAGAAACAACAGCATCCCTCGAGAACCTGGGACCCTCCGCAGGCCAGACTGAAAAACATTCCAGGGTGCCCTCCCCCAGGTATGCACACGAACGTCCAACAAACACGAAGAACATAGGGGTACCCTCCCCGAGCCGACCTCGATCATATACCTCGGTCCGACCGCGTCAGACACGCGGAGCCTCAGTCCCCGAAGGTCCAAGAAGGGGAGGCAAGGCAAGGCGCCAGCCCACGTCCCCTGAGGCGAGGATGCAGGAGAGACTTGAAGGAGGAGAGGGGAGGACCCATGGGGGGCGGGGGAAGGAGGGAGGGGAGGAGGGGAAGATTCGGGAGGGGAAGGAGTCGCCAACCTTGAAGGAGAAGTCAAAGACTCTCTGCCAGGGGGCGATCTGATCCATCTGCAGGGTGCACATGAACGAGAACGACCCCCCAAGCTGCTTGTGGAAGCCGAGCTCGTCAACCAGGTTCAGCGGGTGCTGCCACCTGGGCGACAAAGAATCGACAAGGATCGACGATCGGGGTTCCGAAACAGGTTTTCCGTCGGCGGCGAAGCGGCGAACTCCGCTCCAGCGAGAAGCTAGAAAGGGGCACCAACTAGCGAATTGGCCGGCGGGCAACCAGGGTTCACAAACATACGAAGGATGGAGTTTTTCAATCCCGGTGTGCGTCCCTTATGTTAGCCTCTAGGGGGCGTCTTCGGGCACCCAGGACCATCAAAGTGGACCTGGGGCGAAAAACTGCTCCCCAGGGAAGGGCTCGGGAACTCTGGGGCCTGCGGCCTGACAAAAAACACATCGTCGGACATCTGCGTTTTTGAATGTTTTGGGCGGCTGGAGTGTCTGAAGAAGATGTTCCAAACTCAGGCTGTGTCGCCTGGGCACAGGCTCTGCGACACTGCCCGGTGCCCCCACTTGCTGAGCGGTCTTGCGAC